CCTTTGATATTTAAAAAGCATGTAAGATTGATTAAAAATTTTGTTGTATATAGTTACAAGTCTATTCTTCATAATACTCAATACCTTCATTCATTTATACTATTCTGCTGAAATTGCATTCTCATCTCCCCAATAACTTCCTAATATCCAGTGTCATTTTTTCAGTGTTAATTCCATTTTATGGCAGATGTCTTACCAGAACAATATAAAATATGCATTATATTTTCAAATATAACTGGCTTTAATAATGGTTTTTAATAAAAACAGATGTGTTTAAATCACTTCATGACTTCACACATTCATAAAGAGCAGAGAAAGAAGGGTGAAGCATTCATATAACTGCCAGTGTTAGTCCTTTATGGGTAAACCAAGTAAATCTTAAATTTTACTAGTAATGAGAATTTCATTGGTTTTAAACACCTTTCTGGGTCTCCTCTGTAAAATATGTTCATATTTTATTTATAGTTGGCTGTGGAGATGATCTTACACAACTCAATCTTACAATAGATGTGCCTAACTTAATTGGTAGGCTTCTGAGGTAGTGTCTGCAGGTGGGAATCGTTATTACATATCAAAATCTCTTTCTCTCACACACACACTCATATATAAACATACAAATATATAGTTGTTTGGTTATACAAAATAAATGTGAATGCAAACTGAAAATAACCAATAGGAAAAAGATTGAATTCTGAAAGTGGAAAATTAATTTTTAAATTTCATATTTTACCTTTCACAATAAACTTTTGCACTTTCTTAGGATTTATTGCCCAAAATGATTTATCTTTATTTCTCATGAAACATCTACCTCTATCTCAGTATTAACACAATAAACACGTCTCTTAACACGTACTTTTATTTTTACAAAGATGCCACCTAGTGGCTTTATGAAATCAAGCATCTCAAAGTATTCCCCATTGTTACTCTAAGCTAAAATGTATTTTGATATAAAAGAATGAATTAGAAAAATATTAGATTTTGGAAAACCTAAAAATGATGCTATTGGATTAAGTTTGTATCATACCTCTGTGAGGTATGATATAGTCTTTTGTTTAGAGACTATATAAATACAGATCCATAGTCCCTTTGCTGAAACCTTAAGGGACGGATGTGTCTGAATTCAGATTTTTCAGATTTTTGAAAGGTAAATATTGACCTATACTGTATATTCTACTGTCAGTAGGTCTGGGGAAGTAGTCCAGAATCAAATACATTAAGAATTCTGTGACAAAAATATACTCATATCATGTATTAAGTAAGATAAAGACCACAAATAACTTTATGTAAATTCAGGTCAGATTTTGCTTCTAAATGAGTTATGAAAAAAGTTTGGTTTTACTCTGATAAAAGGAATCAACATTCCAGTTATAGAAAAAGAGAGTAAAATGAAGTATTCTGTCATAAAATAGTAATGTTTATCTTAAAAATGCCTAAAATGTTCACCTGAAAAAAGACATATTTGAAGATCATGAGAAATCCGAAAAAAGAATCTCTATGCTTTTCATTTACAGAATCATATAAAGAAGCTAATCTGTCATAAGTTACATTTAAGCACACTACAAAAAATTAGCAAGTAACATAAACCTAAAGATTACTTTGAAAACTCATTATTAGCAATGCATGGCAAGCAAATTTATGAGTTCATGTCAAGTTCAAAAAATTTTTTTCCTTTTTGTTTCTATGTGTGATTGGTATGTTTCCTTCTCGCTGCCCTGGGTTATGGAAGCATGTGTTGAAGTGGTATCATCCTCAGCCCAGATCCCTGTGTGACTCTTTCGAGAACTGTCCCTCATTAGACATGTAAATGCCTCATTAGACATGTAATAAGAAACAAACTTCTGTCATGCGAAGATTAGGATTTAGGGACAGCCTATTCTAATTCACTATTTTCCTCACTACTTTCCTTCACTAACTAGTTTTGGCTTATTCTCTCTAAATAAAGATCTTTAAATAAATTTCTCCAGTTCCCATCAATAATTCAAAGCACACATCACATCCCCACTTTTTCTTTTGAATTCTATTAAAAATAAACCTCTTCATCCTCCTGCAAGCCAAACTGCTATCTTATTTACCTTTTTCTCAAAACATTACTATTATGGTAGCATAGGCCGAAATAACATTGGAAGTATGGAGTTTTAAAGGAAATTCTACCTCAGATGGAAAATGCTTAGATTATGTTTCATGATTTGCAACTTCATCCTAGATCCCAGAACACATGTGCATAGGTTTCTTTAATTTCTATTTGTTTATGTAATCATGGAACCTGGGAGGTAAAAGGCTGACATTAGCCAAGACATGGGCATTTTCTTATACAGAACATTGTTGACTTCCTCCGTTTGACAGAGAAAACATGAGGGTAGCATTTGTCTTCTGGTGATTGAGAGGCCTGATGTAGATAGTTGAAGTGACATACAGACTCTATAAAGTCTGCTCTGTAGTTGGAGCACATGTGAAGCAAGGTTCTGCAAGACCTGAAGATCTAGGCTTCTGAGAACAGTGAAACTGATCACTTTGACTTCATGGGAGAGTTCCTGGATAACAGAATATAGACTGTCTGGAATACCATCTTGGTGGTTAAAAGGAATTATAAGAACTGGCCCAAAGGGAATATTTGAAAAGCCTGCCAAAGCATCAGGTGAAGACTTAACTTCTGATGGCAACAGAGTAAGCCTTCCCATTATAGTAGATCCCAAAGTTAACTAAGAAAGAATATTAAATTCCATTTGACAGAAGACTGCTCTCACTTTTTTCAGTATCGTAATTCTTATTATAATAGCAGCAAAAAACCCTCAATTAGCTTCACTTCTCTAACTGCATTTTAGGATTAGAAAAGATGACAAAGATAAACTCCTTTTCTTCCATCCCCCAATTTTGAGAACCTGGAGGTTGGGGCTGGGGATCAGAGAGTAGAATAATAGAGAATAGAAAATGAAGGAACACAATGAAACCTGAGGCCTGGTGGCTCACAATAGTTGCCACTGCTGACATCACATCCTTTCTATTCAGATAGGACTACTTCCCCAACTTCTGGTGTAGAATGGATGGCAGGCCTCAACACTGAGCATTACTCCAGTGGATGCCACATACTCTGCTTGTCCATGGTACTCCTAGTTTATACCAGTTACCTTTATGAAATTAGTACTACTTCATTTTTCTCTCAAAACCAGGTTGAATGATAAATTGTATCATCATCCTAGATATAAATCATTTCCACTCCAAAGAAAAGAATGGGAGAAATTTGAATATTCTACACTCAGAATATATATCTTTGCTGCCATTTTCTTGTCTGCAAAGCTCAAATTGATTGCTTCTTTTTCTTTTGAAGTGTCTGGTGTATTTTCCTGATTGTTGAATCTGAATGAAACATGAGAAACCTAGGAGGAACTGAAATGGGCCATTTTGAAAGTTACTTAAATTAGTCTAGAAGCCTCTCAGCAATCCTGAAGATCTTTAAATGGAAGAATCATTTGTAAAGCAATCAGGAAAGCTTACTCTGGAAGTTAGAGGAAGCAACCAGAAAACATTTGAAAGAGTAAAAACTATCAGGTGTAAGTTTGTATGGGCAGTTGGGAATAGCAGTTAGTAAATGTAAAAACATGGACCACAGGGCAATGCCTTTTAAACGCCTATCCCGTTAACATTATCTACCTATAATCCATATGAAGATTTTTGCACAAAATGAAATCCAGTTTACTACCACTGTTCCTATTTTTTTATACTTATTTGGACAAAACAAATCAAGAAAGCAGGAAATAGGCTCTTTTGGTACAACCCAGATGGTACAGGCAGGAGTGACAGCAACCCAAGAATATTCATTAAAAAATAATATAATAGTTAGGAACGTGAGTTCTGGAGCAAGACTGTCCAGGTTCAAAATTTAGCTCCACATCTTACTAGCTATGAGACTTTGGTTATTATTATACCATTTCTTCGCCTATTTTTCCAAGGTGTTCACATTGCCTACAGGTGCCTACAGTTGTAGGAGACCACTACTCACACTGAATTCTGGTTTCCTTATCTGGAGAAATACAGATAATTTGCAGGATCACACTTTTATGAGGAGTGCAGATTTAAGAGTGAAATTAGTCAAGTAATTAGAAGAGTGCCTGGCAAACATAACAAATATTAGCTACTATTATTATATTATTATTATTCTACCACTAGCATTTCTAATGTAAACATCAATACGGTCCCTTTTTATTAACAGCTACAGGAGCTCTGGTGGTAAAACATATGACACCCAAGAATCGTGGAAGAAGTGGAGCTATAAAGTCTGATAAAGCCACATCAAGCTATCTTCCTGTTTTTATGTGCTCAAAGGACTAAAAAAAAAATGGTTAGGAAATTTGCTTGCAAGTATTTATGTTGATATGCTTTAGGATCATGTATTCTTTACATCTATAATGTATTATATTTAAAGCAAATGTCAGAACTGAAAAGGAAGTTATAAATCATAAGTTCTACTTTTACGAAGAAGGAAATAGGTCAATCTGAGAAGTTGACAATGTGCCTCCACTTAGTCAGAGTTCATGATGGCACTAGAAAGCCATGGGAGGGGCAGCCCCGGTGGCACAGCGGTTTAGCGCTGCCTGCAGCCTAGGGCATGATCATGGAGACCCGGGATTGAGTCCCACGTTGGGCTTCCTGCATGGAGCCTGCTTCTGCCACTGCCTGTGTCTCTGCCCCCCTCTCGCTCTCTCTCTGAATAAATAAATAAATCAGAAAAGAAAGAAAAGAAAAGAAAAGAAAAGAAAAGAGAAGAGAAAGAAGAGAAGAAAAGAAAAGAAAAGAGAAGAAAAGAGAAGAGAAAAGAAAGAAAAGAAAAGAAAAGAAAAGAGAAAAGAAAAGAAAAGAAAAGAAAAGAAAAGAAAAGAAAAGAAAAGAAAAGAAAAGAAAAGAAAAGAAAACCATGGGAATGAGAACCTGGGACTTCTGACTCCCTCTAAAGCTTTCCCACATCCCCCCCCAGAACCTTTCTCATGCATTCTGACTGCTGAAAAGTAACTCAAACCACTTCATTTAATATTTACTGACCATTGAATTTACAGGTAAGGGGAAAAACATATTGGAAAAAATAAAATTTTCTCATCCTGAGAATTCTGAATGATTCTGCTTTGCCACAGGGATAGGAAAACACACAAAAACATATATATGTACAAACATACATAAAAGTACTATCTTTGATGTTAAAAAAATACCAAATTTAAGTATTTAGAAATGATAGGGTCTAGGAAGAAAGGGTGAGGACACATGAAAAGTAATTTATGCCAACTCTTTCTTTCCTTGAATTAGCATTTATCTTCAGTTTGATAGCCAACTGCATTCATATTGGAACTTAGTGAAAACTTAATGATTCCACTTTGAAGTTATAACCCATGTATGACTGAAATGCTCTGGATATAAACTTATCCATAGGTCAGATAAAGAAACTCTTGGTGTCTCTCCTTTTACATAAATTCTATCTCTATCCTGATGTACTTTGGTTGATCAAGAAAACTAAAGGCTAAAGAACAGAAAGTTAACTTCTTTAAATGAGGCAGAAGGAAAAGTTTTTCCAATTCCCACTATCAATAAATCTTTCAAATACCAAATCAATTTCCTCAACTGTACAACTATAATTTGATGGTTTTTACTCTTACTTCTTCTCTTTAGTGACCTATAAATTTGTCTAAACAATAATTAAGTATCTCATCTTTTTTCAGGACAAAAACCATTAAATGATGTGTTGAAGATACTACTACTAATATTTCACATTATGATTATGGCCTCTGCATTGAAAATCTATGGGGAAAAAAAAAAAGAAAATCTATGGGAACTTTTCCAAGTAATTTTCAAATATTTACACAGCCTCTCTGAAATACATATTAAAACACAAAACCAAAAAAAAAAAAGATCTTTGAAATAATTTGAATGAATGTTTTACATGTCAAAACTGAATTCATAAGACCCTATTACCATAGTCATTAATTTTAAGAAGTCTCCTAAATATGTTCTGTATTAGTTTTCTTGATTGTAAGATGTCAATAATATGGAAATTTTTTTTAATATAACAGAACATTTAATTACATCCATTTCCCATCAACACACTAGTCATTTAATGATGATTATATTGGCCATTTCCATTGGTTGGCAGGAGGCTCTTCCACTAAAGGCTCCCATGGTTTCCACCGTATCATTTTTCTTGCCAGACTTAATTCATTTTCAGCCTGTTAATAAAAATTTTTAAAAGATCAGTTGATTACACTGATTAACAGATATTTATCATAGCTAATGACTGAAATATAATTAGAACTATTTTCATATCAATATCTAATAAGCTGTTCTACCATCAAATGTTGAACATTACTAATAAAATTACCTTAATTCTCATAGCTAGACAATCATGAGTTAGAAAGGATAGCTTTTGATCTTTTTCTATTTGATTAAAATTTGCTATTAGAATGTTCAAATGTTTACTTGGTGAAGTTTCAATCTTAATTGTCTGTTTTGCCATTAAACTATAAATTCTTTGGGAATAAGAAGTATCTATGTCAATGGCTTTCAAACTATTTTATCATGGCCCACAGTAAAACACAACAAACAAATTCTAAGGGATCTAAAATACACACATTATGAATAAAACAAAACTAAAAATATCATTACCTTTACTAGCTATGACACATTATTTTCTATTATATTTTTTAAATGCTAGGCACAACCCATCTAACTGATTTCTTGACCGATAATCACTTGAGACCCACAGTTTGTAAAACAGTGATCTATGGAATGCAGAATATCATAGGCGCACAAAAATTACTGATTGAATTAATTTCCTTACATTAAGTTACATTTACCTTTTTTCTTCAAACAAATTTATAAATATTTAACATTTTTATCTTTTTATTTCACATTTTTTATACAACAAAAAGACCTAAGACAACTCTGGCCAATTTAGAAGAACACTTGTCAGGATGTCAGAGAAGGAATTCAAATACAGAGTAAGTGCCAGAGTCTGTCACAGGCTGTAATTCTTTTCTTTCTTTTTTTTTTTTTAAGATTTTTATTTATTTATTTATTCACGAGAGACAGAGAGAGAGGCAGACACACAGGCAGAGGGAGCAGCAGGCTCCATGCAGGAAGCCTGATGTGGGACTCAATCCCAGGACTCCAGGATCATGCCCTGGGCTGAAGGTAGCACTAAACTGCTGAGCCATCCAGGGATCCCACAAGCTGTAATTCTACAGAAAAGGCAATGCTTCATCTAATGCCAGTGGTGCCAAATAGCCCTTCTATGTTTCCAGGAACAGTCTAAAATAAACAGTGTGTTAAAAAGTACATTAACAGAAATCTGAGGGTAGAGGGATTTACTGATGCTGAGATGAGAAAAGAGCAAAATATTGATTAAAAATATCCCTAAAGATGGCTGTTTCCGTGACTGCTCTTTGGCTTGGGTCTCTTGACCATTCATGCTTTCTTTAAGCCTCCAAGGCATTGTGTAGTGTAGGGAGGGTACCTGACCCTGAATATCACTAAGGTCAATCCATTTCAGGTAGCTGGACCCAGGTGCACATGACCCATTACCTATTCCTTCCTTCTTCCTGGGCTTCTAACATAGTACCTTTACCTTATTTACTATCCCTCTAGAAATGGGCTGTCCAAAATGGTAGCTACTACCTACATATGACTATTCAGTAAGCATTTGAGATGCAGCTAGTTCAAATTCAGATCTGCTGGGTAGCCCCAGTGGCGCAGCGGTTTAGTGCCGCCTGCAGCCCAGGGTGTGATCCTGGAGACCCTGGATCGAGTCCCACATCAGGCTCTCTGCACGGAGCCTGCTTCTCCCTCTGCCTGTGTTTCTGCCTCTCATTCTCTCTCTCTGTGTCTCTATGAATAAATAAATAAAATCTTTAAAAAAAAAAATTCAGATCTGCTGCAAGTATAAAACATACAGAAGATTTTAAAGACTTAGAATAAAAAGAGAATGTGAGATATATCAATATTTTTATATGTTTCAAAATATTTTAAATATATTAGGTGAAATAAAACATTATTAAAATTTAACCTTAATACTGTCTATGAAAATGTGGAGAACTGCACAGCTGACTTAAAAATACCTAACTGTACCCTGAGTCTATAACTGCATGATAAATTAGTGTATCAGTTAAACTAAAGTCATGATCAAAGTAAAATCTGACAGAAAAGAAAGAGGAACAGGAAAAGGACAATAATAAGTTAGCAGCAAGTTCCCACATGGTACAACAGCTGGCAAATGAATAGAAGGCCTTTGAATGATTGAGTCTACATTCAAAAAAACTGTCTAAATGCCCTATTCCTCTTTTTAACAGAGCCATCTAACAATTCTTCTGAATTTATATATCATGTCTGTTGGTGATATACCTCCCTAATCACCTTTCATTTGTCCTTTAATAAAACTCAAAAAATAACTGCATTTTTTAAAATACACAATGTACAAATTAAATGAAACAACTGATTATCAATCAGATGGCTTATAAGGGTAGACATCTAAACCTATAATATGGGAGGGGGAGCTGAAGTGGTGAGGCAAAGGGGGAGAGTGATTTGATCAAGTAAAAATTTTAAAAATCTATATATGAAAGAAAATATTCAGTTGAAGTCAAAAGGCAAAGAAAAGACTAAAAAATGTTCAAATAATATTGCAAGAGTTTAAAGTTAATCTCTCTTATTTTAAAAAACACTCAAAAGAAATATAGAAGAAAAACATTAAAAACAAATGATACAATAAAAAGATTAATTACAGAATTTATAAAACACAAAATACAGGAACATATTTTAAATTTAACCTTACTTATAACTGGGGGGAAAAATGCATGACTTAAAAAAAAAAGGCATAGATATTTTAATCTAACAGTCAAAAATACATTTTAATTTTATGATTTTATGGTTCAAAATATCTGTATTTCTCCATATTAAAAATATGCTAAGCCCTTAATATATAAAAGTATTTCTATCTAAAAAGATAAAATTATTCAAATAATAGTAATATTGTGTTACTCCTTTGAACTAAAGGCTAACAAAAACACACTGATGAAATTCAAGGTGTATTAAACTCCAAATTTCCAACAGAAGCCTCATAAATTCAAGTTAAAATGACTGACATTTAATTGACATGTTCATAATTGAAGTATTTCCTATATGTAATTATTCTTGTATAGAGAGCTGACATAAAGAAAGAAACTTAGTTTTCCTTTTTTTCTGAGATGTCAGTTTTGTGTCTCTTAAGCACAGTGCCTCTGACCATTTAAAGCCAAACATCTAAACAGTTAACTTTTTCTTACCTGAAGAATCACCTCTTCTAGTTGGCCACCCTGAAGTTGGTCTTCTAATTTCTTAACATCTGGCTCCTATAGTTTAAGGGAAAAAAAAAGAATTAAAAAAAGGAACACAATATCTGAATGTTTCAACATCCTAATTAAAAAGATGCAAATATAAAATAGCAATTATAGCAAACATAATTAGTTTTTCTTTCATTATACCCTTACTAATGTTTGCCAACTATCTGGTGGAAAGTCTAATCTCTCTATTTTTATTGCTTTTCTGTCTTAATATTAACTGCTGATCAAGAGTAAGAAATATGGTAACCATTTAGTCTTTCTAAAATACAGATTTTAAAATACTACTTTATTTTCTTTTCTTAGTATTTCCTCTATTTCCTCTGAGAGCATTAGTATTTGAGGTAAATGCTACCCTGTGACACAGAATTCCATTCCTAGGTATATACCAAACAGAAATTTATAATACATTAACCAAATGGCATGTTTAAGAATATTCACAGCAGGGGACGCCTGGATGGCTCAGCAGTTGAGCGCCTGCCTTCTGGCCCAGGGCGTAATCCTGGGGTCCCAGGATCGAGTCCCACGTGGGGCTCCCTGCATGGAGCCTGCTTCTCTCTCTGCCTATGTCTCTGCCTCTCTCTGTGTGTCTCTCATGAATAAATTAATAAAATCTTAAAAAAAAAAATTCACAGCAGCACAAATTATAACCTCAAATTAGAATCCAAATGTTAGAGAATTAATGAATAAATCATAGTATTTGGATATAACAGAATACTATATAGCAGTAAGAATATATAAATTACAACTATATGCAAGAACAGAGATGATTCTTTCAAACATAATATTAAGTGAACGAAACAACACACAAAAGAACACAGACTGATAATTCCATTTATAAAAAGCTAAAAAAAAAAAAGTTAAAAAACCAGGCAAAATGAATCTGTGGTGTTAGAGGTCAGAAGAGTAGTTATCTTTAAGAGGGGAAATAGCAGGTTTGGACATTCTGGAAATGTCCTCTTTTTTGATTTGGCGTTAATATGGGTGTGACTTGTGGAAATTTATCAAGCTCTACATTTATGATTTCTGCTCCTTTCCTTTGTACATTGTTCTTCAATACAAGGTGTGTTTTTTTTTTTAAAGTAATGCTAAAAAGGTACTAGAAAAATACAATGACATGTATTTATTGCTAGTAAACTGAGCTTTGTGAGAGCCAGAAACCATGTTCTATATTCTATACATACTTACAAACATGTAAGTAAAGTATAAAGAGGATGATTTTTTTGGCCCACAGACAGAATGAAAAGAAGGGGAAAAAAAAATTTTTTTCTACAGGAATTGGCATGTTCCTGCTTCAGGGCATCTGCTGGCTGACCAGGGATAACTGCATGGCTTATTCCTTCATTTCCATCCAAGTCTTTGTTCATGTATCACCTTCTTAGTGAGAACCACTTTGATAATTTATATTGTGGTAGGCTAAATAATGTCCCACAAAATGTACATGACCTAATCCCTAAAACCTATGAATGTTAGCTTGTGTGGCAAATACTTTGTGATTAAGAATCTTGAAACAGAGAGATTATCCTAAATCAGCCAAGTGGGCCCTAAATACAATTTCAGGTGTCCTTATAAAACAGAGGCAGAGAGAAATTATGCATAGATGAGAAAGGAATGTGACTACAGAGGCAGAGATTACAGTGATGTGGCCATAAGCCAAGAAATGCTGAAAGCCACCAGAGCTAGAAGAGTCAAGGAACAGATTCTACCCTAGAACCTCTAAAGGGAATGCAGCCTTGTCAACACCTTGATTTGAGCCTTTGATACTAATTTTAGAATTCTGGCTTCCAGAAATGTAAAAGAATAAATTTCTATTGTTTTAAGCCACCAAGTTTATTAGAACAGGCACAGGAAACAAATATATACTGTAATATCCCTCATCATTTGATACATACCACTCTCTTTTCATTTTCCTTCACTGTTTTTAACTATCTTCTATACGCTATGTAATGTACTTCTTTATTTACTTACTTCTTTGCCTCCCACCATGAATGTGTAATCTCCAAGAAGGCAGGGATTTTAATCTGTTTTGTTCATTGTCATAGAGGCACTAGCTTCCATGCCTACAGGCATACAAGGCATAGAACGGCATTCAGTGTTCCTTGAATAAGTAAAAATAGTTGGAAAAGAAGGAAGGGGAAGCAGATGAACATGTCTGAGAAAGACTGTTTACCTCAGAATTAACTGAGTCTTGAGGCGAAAATTTGAAAACAAAACAGGGAAGCTGGTCATTGTTAAGAGATCTAGGAGACTGAAGAAAAGAAGGCAAGGAATGTTCAACAGTAATTTCAACTCAAGAGAATCCTGTGCTAGGAAGACAATTCAAAATTTGTCTTATTGAAGCTAAGTCAATACGATGACTTCTATTTACCAATGGCAGAATGTCATTAAGCTTAATAAGCTACCATGTACTGATCACGTATGTTAAGCGTGATCAGTATATGGTTTACATATATTTTACATATATTATCTCATTCAGTTCTAACGAGTGTTCAGGTAGGTATTATTATACCCCAAGTATTAGATGAGGAAACTAAGAGAAATGGACAATATGCCAACAGTCACTCAGCAAATAAGTATTAGAGCTGAGAAGAAAATTTTGGACAGGCCACAAACCAATACTTTTCACCAATATTCTATCTCCCTAGTGTAATCTGAAAAAATATTTACTTTTATTTCCATTTTAGACTCAGTAAGTAGATGTTTTATAATCATAACAAGATTTACTAAAAACTTTGTCTGTGACTCTATTGAGGGTTAAAAATCTGTAATCATTTTACCAAAAACAGGAATTGGTGATACAACTATCATGCAGTACTTGAGGTTGTTAAAAACTATTTGTATTTATTAGCCTTTTGTATAAACAAACATTTCTATGGGACCTTATATAAGCACTAGGTACTATGCTAGACTCTTGGGATACAAAGATGAATGCAATCATCAATCAAAAGTAATTTATAGACCAGAATATAAAACATAAGTAAAATACAGTGTGACGGGTACAATGGAAGAGAATCAAGGAAGTTCTCAACCTCTATTTAGGAGAGTAAGAAAAGGCTTCACAGAGGAAGTAACAGATCTTGAGGACTGAGTAAGAAGTGCCAGAAAGACAAGGTAAGGGGATTCCAGTTAGAGGGAAGAGAAAATACAAAGAAACACAAAATCAAATTGCATGTAATTCACATAACTATCAGAAGTACAGGGTATAAAATAGGAAATGACAAGGTAAGACTGAGAAGATAACCCAGAGTCAGATCTTGGGGCACCTTCCATACATGCTAAGGACTTTATCCTGTAAGCCAGTGTTTCCCAAACCTGGCTGTACATCAGAGCCATGCAGATGGAAGTAGTGAGGTGAGTTTCATACAACTAACTCAGCAAACATTCTTAAATTCAGCCTCTGAGAAACACTAACCAGGAAACTACAAGAATGTTTTTAAGCAGGAAGAATCTGGATCAGATTTATACATTGGGGGAAAAAAATCACTCTATTCACAGTGTGGGGCATGTAATGAAGTACAATGGAACTATATACAGACCACTAAGCAACAAGGCAACTGAAAGAGCCCAGTCAGAGAAAACTATTTTAGAACTAGTAAGTGAAAATAATGACAGTAAGCTATTCTTTGGTTGACAATGGCTAAGAGAGAAATGAAAAATAGGGCAGAAGTAAAAAAAGATATAAATATAACAGTTGTATTTTTAAGATAGGAATAAGCTAAATACATTTTGAGGCTATCTGGAAGATAATAAAATGAAAGGCTAAAACAAGAAAAAATGATAGAGCAGAATAAGGTTATAGAGAAGGAAAGTAGGGAAAGATTCAAAATGTTGTAAGAGCTTTACTTCGTGAAAAGAAAAAAGGAAATTTCTTACTCAGTGATGGGAAAATATGCACCAGTCCGTTTTCCTTAAGGAAAACATGAAATCGGGCAGCCCTGATGGCCCAGTGGTTTGGCGCCGCCTTCAGCCCAGGGTACCATCCTGGAGACCCGGGATCGAGTCCCATGTCTGGCTCCCTGCGTGGAGCCTGCTTCTCTCTCTGCCTGTGTCTCTGCCTCTCTCTTTCTCTGTGTCTGTCATGAATAAATAAATAAGATCCTTAAAAAAAAAAAAAGAACGAAAACATGAAATCAAAAAAATGTTGAACCTTCCCCTAGAGACTTTGTAAGTTACTTTCAGAACTGCCAAGCTAAGAATAAAAGTTCCAAATCAAATTTCATTGTTTCGCCATATCCCTAAGGAAAAATAATTATTCACTTTGGTAAACTAATAAGAAAAATATAATAGGGCCACTTATACTTTCAGAACTGCCAAGCTAAGAATAAAAGTTCCAAATCAAATTTCATTGTTTTGCCATATCCCTAAGGAAAAATAATTATTCACTTTGGTAACCTAATAAGAAAAATATAATAGGGCCACTTATTACATATATGTAAATTACTTTTAGAGTTTATGAACACTTTTGGATAATTACAGAAGTCCATGAATAATTGCTAGTGTGAAAATGTAATACTTTAAAATTTTAATTGCACAAAAGTGCAATACAGTTTGGCATAAAAGAACTAGCAGCAGTCTATGGTATGTCTAGCTAGGGACTTTGATTTAGACCTGTAAAATGCTTGTATTAGTCTGCTAGGGCTGCCAATAAAATACCAAAGACTGTGCGGCTTCAACAACAAAAAATTATTTTCTCACAGCTCTGGAGACTGCTAGTCCAAGATTAAGGTCCAAAAGGGTCAGTTTCTGATGAGAGCTCTCTTTCTGGCTTGCAGACAGCTACCTTCTTTCTTGTGTTCTCATATGGCAAAGAGAGCTGTCTCTTATAAGGACACTAATCTCATTGAATCAGGGCCAATCTTATGACCTCATCAACCTTAATTACCTCTATAGATGTTCCAGCCACCCTGGGGGTTTAGGGCTTCAACATATAATTTGGCAGGGAACACAGTCACTCCATAACAATGATAGTTTTTTTTATAAAGTAATTATGTTTTTTTTAATATTTTATTTATTTATTCACGAGAGATACACAGAGAGAGAGAGAGAGGGAGAGAGAGAAAGAGGCAGAGACACAGGCAGAGGGAGAAGCAGGCTCCATGCAGGGAGCCTGATGTGAGACTGGATCCCGGGTCTCCAGGATCACGCCCTGGGCGGAAGGCGGCACTAAAACGCTGAGCCACCAGGGCTGCCCAACAATGATATAATTTTTGGTAATTAAGAGACTAACTTGGCCCTCTCTGTAATAAGCATTTTGCAAAAGTTTTTTCTAACAGTTTTGTTTAAACACAACATACATTTTTTGTGTTCTACTTTCATTTTTCTCTACTCTGAAACTACAAAAAGATTGATGTATCTATAGATAAGTCAACAATCAACAAAGGACTTGATAAAGAAGAGATGTACTACAATGTTAACCTAGAGAAGAGACATGAGATTATTCTTTCACTCCAGTATTTAATAGTGGCTTACATATGGAAAGCATTAGTAAACAGGAATTTGCTGAAAGGGAAAAAGGATGGAAGACAAGCACAGAAGAATAGAAGAGCAGGGGGAAAAAAGCAACTGAACTTTTTTTAATGGTGTATTGGAAACCATAAATCCAAGAAAACAAAAATCAAGTCAGCTACTTACCGCTTTAACCATACTCAGCTTCTCATTTGTAATCTGTTCTGTATACTTTCTATATGCTGCGTTTTTAGGAATTTGCTCAAGAACATCAAGAATCTTTGTGTACAATATTCTTAGCCTCTGAAAAGACAAATCATATACATTTCCAGTTTAAAGTATCATCAAAGATTCAACAGAACATTTTAAAAAGTCTCACAAATTACAGAAAGATTCACATCTGTTTTTTAAAAAGCATTTAAATCTTCCTTGTTACAATTTCTTCATGTCTTCGCCTTATTACCTTTATAATTGAAGGAAAATGTGAATACAGTTGACCCTTGAACAATGCTGAGGTTAGAGAGCCTATCACTGGCATGGCTGAAAATCCACATATAACTTAGGACTCCCCCAAAACCTGACCAATAACAAATATGCCTGACCAATAACATAAACAGTTAACACATACTTTTTATGTTGTATGTTATCACATATTATATTCTTACAATAAAGTAAGCTAGGGAAAAGATGTTATTATGAAAATCATGAGGAACAGCTAGGTGGCTCAGTGGTTGAGCACCTGCCTTAGGCTCACAGTGTGATCCTGGGGTCCTGGGATGTAGTCCTGAATCAGGCTCCCTGCAGGGAGCCTCCTTTTCCCTCTGCCTCTGCCTCTGTCTCTCTAAGTCTCTAATGAATAAATAAATAAAATCTTTAAAAAAAAATAAAAAGCAGATCATTTAAGGAAAATACATTTACAGTACTGTACTGTATTTACTGAAAAATACATGTACATAAGTGGACCCAAGCAGTTCAAACCTGTTATTCAAGGGTCAAGTGTATAAAATGGATACTTTTTATGTTGCATTAACAACATAGGTTGTATATAAGCCAAAGATATGGTAACAAGTAAAAATAAAACTGCATTCTAACTTATTGCTAATGATCTATTTGAAAATCAACTCATTTACTAAATCATTATTTCTCAAATTGCAATCCTAAGCACTACAAATTGATTTTTTTCCATTTTTCTCATTTGAATTTCTGAAGAAATAAAAGAATATATAAAAGCAATGATTATCAGAATGATCAAATTTAACTTAATGTAGTCATAATACTTCAGCTTATGGTGACTGGGTTGGTCATGAAAATGAAGGTTTCACGCAGGCTTAACAGAAAAGGAACAAGAGAACTGATGAACTTCAAGTTCACATACAGCAGTTAGTAGTAAAGCTACATGGTAAGAAACTGTTACACCAGATCGTAATTCACAAGAGTTCATAAACAGTAAATATAATCACAAATATACATACATTATATAAAGAATTCTTTGTATTTAATTGTACAAAATCCATAGGTACTAACACCTAGTTTCATTCATATATATTCACAATATACATATGAATAAGTAAGAAATTAGACGTGATTTCAAGGTTTTTGAACTCAGTCAACACAAGAATGAAACTGCCATTCATTGAGGTGAGCAAGCCTGAGAGAAAAGCTTTTTTTAGGGAGAAGAATAGGAACACAATTTTGGGTGTTTAGTTTGGGTTGCCTGTCTGGCATTCAAGTGGAGATATCCACTCAGCAATTAAATATACAAGACTCTCAGAGGTCAGTGCTCAATACAGAAACTTAACAGTTATCAGTGTATAGGTAGTATTTAAAACCACTAAACTGAGTCCAGGCAAGGAGACAAATATAAATAGAGAAAAGTTCCAAGAACTAAGTCTAAGAACTCCAAAATTCCTAAGTGGGGATATGAGAAATAACCAGAAAAGTCAATGAGAGTAAAGGGGGGGGGGGGGGACAAAAAACAGAAGACTAGGTGAATTCCCAAGCACAGAAGCGCTTGATGGAGACGGTGCCAAATGTCGCCAGTGCGGCTACTGAGTCAATTAAGATGAGAAACGTGAGCTGACCATTCGATTCAGCAGGACAGAAATCATGGTGACCTTGAAAAGAGCGGTTCTAGCCAAGTCTGGGTGGAGTGAATTGAAAAGGGAGTAAGAGAAATTGGAGACAGTTAAATCCAAATAACTCTTTGGAGTTGCCTGTAAAAGGAAGGAGAGAGATGGTGTGATTACTGAAAGGAAGAAAAGGAGCGAGGGAGGTCTTTAAAGTCTTTTCAGATGGAAGCATTCTGAAGACCCACTGGAAGGGGACACTGATGACGCAAGGGGTTAACTGCTAGAGCGATAGACGCGGTAAGGCAAGGTGTACAGGAATCCAAGGCACCGAGGCAGAAAAGGTAAGGCGGGCGTGGGGGGGCGGTGGAACATGGAGATACAGGTATGGGAGGGTACTCATAACGGGACAGGTGAAGGCACGAGAAGCCTCCGGAAAACTCAGCAAGTAAAGGGACTTAAGAACGAGGTCATGGGGATCCCTGGGTGGCGCAGCGGTTTGGCGCCTGCCTTTGGCCCAGGGCGCGATCCTGGAGACCCGGGATCGAATCCCACGTCGGGCTCCCGGTGCATGGAGCCTGCTTCTCCCTCTGCCTGTGTCTCTGCCTCTGCCTCTCTCTCTCTGTGACTATCATAAATAAAAATTTAAAAAAAAAAAAAAAAAAAGAACGAGGTCATGGGGCGGTCCCGGTGGCACAGCGGCTTAGCGCCGCCTGCAGCCTGAGGTGTGATCCTGGAGTCCCACGTCGAGCTCCCTGCTTGGAGTCTTTTTTTTTTTTTTTCCTGCTTGGAGTCTGCTTCTCCCTCTGCCTGTGTCTCTGCCTCTCTTTCTCTCTGTGTCTCTCATGAATAAATAAATAAAATATTAAAAAAAAAAAAAAAAAAAAGAACGAGGTCATGGAACGCGCAGGCGCAGACGCACGCGCACGGGACCCATCGACAAAGGAGAGAGAAGACCCCGTTCCGGTCTCAAGGCGGCTCTCAGGCCGGCCTGTAATTTGGGGCTTGGAGTATCCGCACCCCGCTGCCCTTTCAACCAGGATCACAGGGTTCTCGTCGTCCGGGGGAATCCGGGAATGGAGCAGCGCGGAACGTACCTCGTGTGGACTCTCACATACAGCCAATCCCACAAGGCCGGTGGTCTGTTCAAAAACAAAACACGATTCAAGCTGTTTACAATTCCGCGCGCCCGCCACGCTAAGGAAGGAGAGACCTACCACCCCCCCAACCCCCCCGTCCCCGCCCCGGCTACACCCGACCTAAAAACAGCTATCGGTCCCTCTCTCCAAACAACCACTAGTTTGGAGAGAACGGGGCTACGGAGTGCGTCATCCCTGAGGCCACAGCAGAACGAGTCCGCCCAACAGCCTCGGCCATCCCGCGCCAGTTCCCGCCACCACCGCGGGGTGAGGGGCTTTCGGGCTGACTCTACCCCCACGGTCTAAAATCCAGCAGTGACCTCCATTCGCCTTACCTTCTTCAGCACAGCCGCCATGACAGCGCCGACGGGCCGGGGACGCGCAGCCCTCTGGGAACCCGGCTCAGACCCGCTCAATCCACCGCCGAGCCGCCACACTATCACCTTGGAAACAGCTCCCGCCCCCTTCGCGATCTCCGCCCGGCGGAGGCTGTGCCCCGCCCATTCCGGGGGTGGGGGGGGGAATCGACGCCTGCGCAATGAGTACACCGGAGTCCGGAGCAGGCGCTGCAGGAAGGAGCTGTCGGACGGCTTCGGTCGTGTGAGCGGGTTCCTGCCTTTACGACCGCTGGCGGCTTGCGCGGGGGCTGAGGGAAACGCTCCAGATTTCCAGAAACCTACGACCGGATGTGCACCTGGCTTGTCCTCTGGCGAATTCCTCAACCTCCCTTGCACGGTGCAGCGTGTAGTAACATGAGCGTGGTCCCCTGGAGCTGTCACCCCCGTGATCTCGTCGCAGCCAAGGTTGATTCCCGGGACCAGGATATCGGTATTTTCCGCCTACTGTGCCAGTGCAGTTCACAGTGTGAAGCCATTTCCCGTCTCAACCCTTTTCCATTTCACTTTCGGAAGCGTGTCGTCCACCTTCGCATGTCCCCAGGGGAAGTGGTAACAGATCACAGCACTTCTCCCCACTTACCTCTGCAAACATTTATCGAGTACGCGTTATGTGTCAGTTACCGGGACGTGATTTTTTTTTTTTGAATTTTTATTTATCCATGATAGTCACACAGAGAAAGAGAGAGAGACAGAGACACAGGCAGAGGGAGAAGCAGGCTCCATGCACCGGGAGCCCGACGTGGGACTCGATCCCGGGTCTCCAGGATCGCGCCCTGGGCCAAAGGCAGGCGCCAAACCGCTGCGCCACCCAGGGATCCCCGGGACGTGATTTTTAAGGCAGGATCCCACATCCTGGAATTTACTGAACGGTGATGAAAACACGCATTAGCAGTTGGTAAGTGTTCTCCTAAAAGAGGTTTGCACCTCTTTTAGAGTGCAGTGGTAGCAGGGAAGAGGAAGTAAATAACCAAAAATGGTTAGTTAACCAGTTACAAAAAAGTGACATATATTTATACATATGTATATGTGTCACTGTTTCTAGAATATAAACCATATATGGGTGGAAATTTTTTCCTGCCATATCTGAAAGGGCTAAAATAGTACCTGGTACATAAGAAGCACCCAATGACTATATTTTTTAATGAATACGATAGAAAAATAAGCAAAAGGAAGTAAATAAACAGTTGAAAAAAATGGAACCAGGAAAAGTCAGTAAACATCAAAAGGACTCAGCCTCCCTAATAATCAAGAAAATGCAAATTAACTATAATTTTACTGCCATCTTACAAAAATTAAAGAATGACAATACCAAGTGTTAGCAAGGATGGAGAACAACAGGAGGACTCCTATACTGCTGGTGGGAGTGAATTAGTATAATCACTTTAGGGAATAATTTCACAAGAGTTACTTGAAGACATGCAAAACCTATAGCTGAGTTGTATGGGATGAAATAGGTCCCCCAAATTCATATACTGAAGTCATAAACCCCTCTATCTCAAAATGTGACCTTATATAAAAATAGGACCATTAAAAATGTAATTAGTTAAAATGGGCTCATTAAAGTAAGCCCTTCTCTAATACTGATATCCTAATTAAAAGGAAATATTTGGACACAGAGAAATGTACACAGGGAGAATATAAAATGTAATGCAAAGATGAGGGCAGAGGTAGGGATGATGCTTCTACAAGCCAAGGACCAACAAAGATTTCTAGAAAATCACTAGAAGTTAGGGGAGAGCCATGGAACAAATTCTCTGAGCCCTTAGAAGAAACCAAACACTGACTTGATCTCTGACTTCCAGCCTCCAGACAGAGGAGCCAATACTTTTAATGATGTTTAAATCACTGAGTGTGTGGTATTTTGTTACAGCAACCCTATAAACTAACACTGAGTAACATATCTTCCTCTCTTACATTTGGATAGCTGTCCCTAGAAAGATGAGCCATAGGGGTATAATTTTCCCAGCTCAGATTACTCAAGAATTAGGCTTCCCCATAACTTCCATCATAATTTCTAACTTCTAGTATTTCAGTCATTCGCAATTACAATTCAGGACAGAGGAAATATATATTAATATGTGTGCATATATGCATTTTAAAGATACAAGCAGGAATGTGTATGGTTGTATACACATAAAAAAATACAAACAACTGAACTGGAACAAACTGATGCATCAATTTGCTCCTGCCATGGTGACATTTATATCTGGACACACTAGATTAGATTCAGGAAACCATAGTGGGATTGAGAGGAAATGTCCTTATTTTTCAAACCAGGTAATGCTGAAATAATCACCAGAACTTGGATGAATGGAAGTTTATGAGGTCACAAACTTTATTCCCTGTACCTCCAGATTCTAAGAATTTTTGTCGTTGTGGATGTGTTCTAGAATGTAGAATCATGTGATTATAAAAGATACATGTGTTTTCATTTGTTGTAACTTTAGGAGTTCAGGCTTCTGACGTACCATATTTTTAAAAGACACCACGGCTAGACACATCTAGCTGATCCGGGCTAAGGTATACTGCATAGCTAACCATTTCTATGTAGTGGGAAAATGTGTAGGTTTTCTGAACCAGTCCATTTGCAGAAGTGTGAGGCTATGTATGGAGTGGGCTTAATAGCTTGATAGTCACCACCACCTATGGCTGGTGACAGTAGAATCTATAAAGAGAAATCAACTTTGGCATCTGTGATACCGAAAAGGGATTTGGGAATATCTTAATGTAAATAGCAAGGACATTAAATGCATTATATTCTCTCAGCTGGGAGAGAGTTCCCAGAGGGTGTTAGAACTCTGCTAAGGAAGCAGACAGATGTTAGGAAGTTCTTCTGTAAACAAAATTAGCAAGGCCAGGTGACTTAGAGCTAAAATCTGGATCTCATGTTTTATACAATTTTCTGTGGAGGACCCCTAGCCTATCCAATAAGGGAGGTCTTTTTCTCCAAAATTAAGTAACTGGAAGAGTTAGGACCTCCTACACTGCTTCTTAATGATAGATACTCTTCTGCAAAGGGTTGAATCTTACCAAAGTCAGGAAGTTAAAGTGTTTCTCTAGAATCTAAGGCTCTGGAGCTATGCTTCCCAGCCAATTACTTGAGGGAGACATGAAACTAAAAGGCTGAAAAGGAAGAAAGCATCTCAATTTTCAGGGCATGAGAGGCTCGTTCCTAATTATCTAAAGGGGACAAAGTACTATGTTGGCTGGTTTACTATTAGTTTTCCTGGTCAGGGAACAAGGGTGAAAATAATGTCCCCTCAGGGAGTATTTTTCCCCTCTCCCAAACTTGACAAGAAAGAAAATCATATTTTTTCAAATTAGTTCTTAGACCAAAATGTTAAAATTCAAATTGTTTAGACATTACCCATCTTTTGTGCCTCCATTCATATCAGGCATATCAAAATATCTTAGTTCTTTACAGTCTTTTCTATCTGTGCTATGAATATTTCTAACAAGTGACTACAACCAGATAATTTTTGGTATGTTTTCTATATGGTGGTTTTTAGAACCTCACTCTAAATTGGGCTATAACTTAGATAAAAGCCATTACCAACTTTTATCTTAGTGGTTATCAGTTTCCACTTATTTGAGTTATCTGGTGTGTGAAAATGGGGATATCCAACACTGCTACCCAGATTTGGAATAAGTTTAACATTGAGGTTAAACACAGGTATCTCTATTGAAAAAGAGAACCTATAGAAGAATGGAGTAATAAAGATTTCTAGCCACTTCACCCTTGCCAATAGGGGGCATGTCTAGCACCACTTCTGTGTACCAAAAGCTACTGCTCTCCACTTAAAAGCAGAGAAGAAAAAAAGTGCTGAAAGTCAGGAATGTTTTTTAAGCAGTTGGAAACCATCTTTTGAGATTAAAATAAATAAGCATTTATTAACATAAATGGTAGTAATAATAATATACTAATAAAATAGTAATAAAACAATAATTATTTTTTTAAAAATACCATAACAGAATTTAGAAATAAGATCTGTCATTTTATGTCAATGAGAGTAGTTAAAAATAGTTACTACACTTATATCTTTTCACCAGTTTCAACTTTTTATTACACTTCATTTTACCTTATTTGAAAAGCTGAGTAAATATTTTAATTGTGGAAACTTTTAAAAAAATATTTATTCATGAGACACACAGAGAGAGAGGCAGAGGGAGAAGCAGGCTCCCTGCGGGGACCCAGATGCGGACTCGATCCCAGGACCCTACGATCACGACCAGAACCAAAGGTAGATGCTCTACCGCTGAACCACCCAGATGCTCTAATTGTGGAAACTTTTAATCTAAATTTCATGGTCCATTTAGATTTAATTCCCAAGAGCTCCATTATTTGCAATATATATTATGCAGTTTATAATATATAACATAAAATGTAGTAAAAAATAGTCTCAGGGGTCTTCTTATACATTCAGGCAACTTGCCTCTCTCCATTACAAAGTAATTCTGTTATGTTAGAGGTATTATAAAATATCCCAAACTGCCTTTGTTTTCAGTAGAAAGCCAGTTGACTTCATAAGTCATGCAGTCAGTTCTCCAGGAGGTGGTGATAAAGAGACAGATTTTGTAAATGGCAGTCTGCGATCTTATATACCATTGAGGGGATGAAGAATCTTTTTTTTTTTTTTAGATTTTTCTGGCAATTTCACTTGGTAAAAAAACATAATAAGCAGTACAACATAAAGGAATTTGGTCTAAAATATCTCAGATTCCTTAGTGGCTCGGCGGTTTGGTGCCTGCCTTCGGCTCAGAGCGTGATCCAGGATTGAGTCTCATGTCAGGCTCCCTGCATGGAGCCTGCTTCTTTCTCTCTGCCTGTGTCTCTGCCTCTCTCTCTCTCTCTCTCTGTATCTCTCATGAATAAATAAAATCTTTTAAAAAATATGTCTCAGATATATATCAACATTAAGAAAAAGAAAATCTGGGGATCCCTGGGTGGCACAGTGGTTTGGCGCCTGCCTTTGGCCCAGGGCGCAATCCTGGAGACCCAGGATCAAATCCCACGTCAGGCTC